GTGGTAGCAGCAGCCAGCAGCGATGTGAATTCCGAATTCAGAGCAAGCAGTCAGAGTCATGACCGCTCGTGTTCCGAAAGGTCAACCGGGCAAAGAGCACCGCTCGTGTTCCGAAAGGTCAACCGGGCAAAGAGTTGGTTAGCTGGTTGATTTCTGGACTCATGACAATCTGATTGATGCTAATTTATTGTGAGAGAAAAAACACCGTTAATAACTGATAAGCTCTGACTGAACGAAATCCACCCGTTTTTCATCGGGTACGTTAGACCAGTGGATCCGTCGTTTTTTTTGCTTGCCAAACTGATGCCAACATCAGGCAGGCGCTCCTAAAAAAATCATTTTGTTGTACGAGTAATTTTCTTGTTCCACTTGAATTCGCGCGCGTGAATTGAACATATGCTGGGGTCAGGCAGCATTGTTCTTGCTCTGTTCGCGTCCCCAATTGGTGGCCTGGTGCATGTGGAGAAGGCAACGAGCAGCCATGTTCAGTGTTTTTCTCTCACAACAAATCAGTTTCAACCGACTTATTAGCCGCAAAAATCATCAGCCGAATAGCTCTGTGTCCGTCCGAACTCCGAAACAGCAGGGGCCCTCGGTCACGCGGCCTCCCTCGCCTGCCGAGTCCCGGCACTCCTCGTGCGTTCGTCGTTCGTGGCGTGGCCCTGCATTTTGTGTTTCGGTGAGCAGAGAACTCCTCGTTTGACAAACCTGGGTGGCCAGTTTGAAATCACCGGCTGTCGGCAATCGGGCATGAACGTCCCGGTACATGCCACTGCAGGCCGTAGATGCGGAAGCGGCGGCACCAGGCGTCGCGCTGGCTCGCCCGGCGGCCGGCGCGAGGCGGCTGCACCGAAGCCCGTGACACGGCAATGAGCTCGCTGCGCGGACGTCTTTTTGGAGTCGGGGGTGCTGGGCTTTGTGCTATCTATGCGCCAGAATTGAAAAAAAAAAGTCTACATTACCTTTCTCAACTGTTGCGAAAATCTATTTTTCCTCCCTAAACTCTAAAACCGGTTAAACCACCTCCCTGAACTTTTAAAATCGTTCATTTTACCTCCCTTATCAGTTATAAGCAGTTTTCAAATGTGATTTTGTCTTCTTCTTTTTTATTTATTTCGGTTGAATCTTTAAAAATTCATAGTAAATAAAAAAACAATAAAATGCAAAATTTATTTTTTTTTGACTCCACATGAGTAGATCTACCCAGTGAATATATAATATGGTATGCTTTAGCATAAATTTGTTGCTATAGTTTTAGATCTATACTTTTCTTTAATTAATTCATAACTGCAATTTCTATAGTCTAATTATGGTAAAATTTTTATGTTGGGCTAATTATTGTATATAACTAAGTTGTACATGATTCAATGAGTATGAAATTTTTACTATAGTTCAACTATACAATAATTAGCCCACCATAAAAATTTCACCAAATTAGATCATAGAAACTACAGCTATGAATTGATTATAGAAAAGCATAAATATAAAGCTACGGCAAAAAAATTGTACTAAAACATATTATATTATATGTTCACTTTGTACATCTACTCATGTGGAGTCCAACAAAATTAGATTTTCTATTTTATGATTTTCCTATGATTGACTATGATTTTTTAAAGATTCAGCCGAAATGAATAAAAAAGAAAAAGACAAAACCGTCTTTGAAAACCGTTTATAACCTGTCGGGGAGGTAAAACGGACTATTTTAAAAGTTTAGAGAGATGTTTTACCCGGTTTTAGAGTTTAGGATTCGCAAAAGTTGAGGGAGGTAATGTGGATTTTTTCCGCCAGAATTCCCCATTCGGCCAACTGGGCCACGGCCCGGGTGTCTGCCTGGTTACGCATCACGTGGGCTGGGCTTGGGTGGGCGGAGCGGGGTTTTCGGCGGCCTCGTCCCTCCAGCCTGATCCCACACTTGGCGAGCCCTTTCGCCGCTCGCTCCTCCTCTTCTCACACGGCGCCCGCGCGCCCTCTCCGTCATGGCGAATCGATCTGCGTCTCAAAATCGCCTTTCGCTCGCTCACACAGCATCACCGCTGCCCGCCCCATCCAGCCCCGCCTGTGCCGCCTCCTGTCCACCTCCACCACCGTTGTGCCCTTCTCACTGTGTGGACTACCTCGTCGCCAGCTTGCGGCCTCGCCCCAGCCCAAACCCGCGAGGTGTCCAAGAAAGCGTTCCGCGAGTTATCCGGAGCATCCAAGAGACCAGTAGAGGAGATCTCACGGTCCCACCTCCTTTCCGCCTCCAACCCAGATGCCATCATTGCCCTGCTCGCCGGCGCCGGCCTCTCCCGCGCCGACATTGCCGCCGCCGCCGTCTTCAAGGACCCGGCGCTCCCTCCGTGCTTCGGCGAAGAACATCGCACCCCGCCTCCTTGCTCTCCTCGATCGCGCCGGTATTTCTACACCCAAATCGCTCGCTTCCTCCTGGTCGGCCCACATGTTCTCCGATGCTGCGATGTCGTTCCAAAGCTCGAGTTCTTCATCTCCTTGTACGGCTCGTTTGAGCAGGTCCTGGTGGTCTTAAAGAGGAATAGGTACCTCTTCAGCGCGAGTCTTGAGAGGTTAATCCAGCCTAACATCGCTTTGTTGCTTCAGTGGGGTGTTCCAGATATTGCTCAGGCAGCCCAGCTGTGTTCAAAGATCCCACGGTTGCTTACCTACAACAATCCGGAACGCGCGAAAGAGCTTTTGATACGGGCGGAACAACTTGGGGTGCCTCCGACTTCACAGATGTTCAAGCAAGCAGTCGCCGCCGTTGCCTGTACTTCCAAAGAGAAGGTTGTTGCCAAGCTTGAGTTCTTTAAGAGGACTCTTGGTTGTTCCGAGTCTGAGGTTTCCACTGCAGTGTCCAAGATGCCAGCTATATTAGGATTGTCTGACGAAATTCTTCTTCGCAAGATTGAGTTCCTAGTCAATGAGGCTGCGATGGAGCCATGGTACATTGTGGAAAGGCCTGTCCTGTTCGCAATGAGCCTTGAGAAGCGGTTAGTGCCCCGGCATTATGTCACGAAGGTCCTGCAGGAAAAGGGATTGATGAATAGCAATATGAGCTTTTCCTCATTAGCTGCAATTGGAGAGGACCAGGCTTTAAAATCGAAGTTCATCGACTGTCGTCACATGGACTCTGTTCCTGGCCTTGCAGATGCTTATGCTGCAGCTCGTGCTGGTATTGTGCCCTCTAGATTGTAATTTAAGCATCTCACTCGTAAAGACATGGGTACTGCACCCTTAATTTTGCATCACCCATCCACTTATCTTCCAAAAGTCTCACATGTGAACCATTTGTAATAGAGAAGAACCCGAAACAGAGAAAATCACGTTTCACCTTCATGAGACTAGCCCGGAAATGAGACTCGCCACTTTTCCAATATGCCTGAGGTAAAGTTTTGGTTCCAAGATATTTATTATGGATGATTTGTTTCCGAGTGCCATCAAATATGATTAACTTGAATAACCTTTTGCTGAGAAGTGTAGTGTTTTTAAGGTCTGGGTCATAAATTCCTAACCTTCATGACATTTTGTATGACATATGATACTCCATATGGCGAGGCGATACTTCCACTTCTGGTCATCACTCTGGCAATAAAATATGGAGAGAAAATAGTCTAATTTCTTAAGGACCCCTCTTTTAATGGCAAAGAAAGACATCATGTATATTGGTTGGCTGTTAACCACTAAATTTATCAATGTTAGACATCCTCTGTTGACAGATGTTTAACTTTCCACCTGCTTAATTTTATCTGAAAATGTTCTTCCAACTTTCTTCCTCAACTATCTGAAGTGTATATGAATAGCTAAATAAGACATAGGGACTTCACTAGTTTTACACCCAAAAAGTTGAGCATATTGTACTGCAGCTCCCTTAGCAATAACAAAGCAGTACACTATGCTCCTATGCAAAATGATTTTTAAACCTGAAGCATGTCGATGGTACTTCTGGGTGTATTAGGGCTGAGGGTAAGGTGGTATTGTATCAATTAGTTTGCTACCCGGTGTTAGCTTAGGCAGGGCAACGTCGATGATGGTGATCTTACGTGTACATGTGTAGACACTCTGCAGAGTTAAAATCTATATGTATAGCCGTATCCTTGGTTATGAACATTCCTGTGTTTCTGCTAACTTTGAAGAGTGAGATTCGTTTGCTTTCTCGTTTGCACTAAGGTTGCAACCTACAGCCAAATCTACTAAGGATTGTCAGATCCTTTTATTTTATTACTAACGAACATGGCCATGCATTACAACAAAATTTACATCTTACGTCATGTTTTCTAATACGTTTGGAACTAGATTTTGTGTCATGGTTGTGTGTTGCTATTCTAACTCTTAGGAGCATGGGGCGTGAGCTCGGATCACAGACGAGCCAATAAACCAATTAGAACTCTAATCTCTAATTTATCATGTACAATTAGTAAAATTGTCTAGGACTCTTATACTCTGGAGAGTCACGAACAAGAAGAGTACTGTGATTGGCCAAAAGTTAGAGGAAGAAATTTTTACTATTTAATATTAGGTATAGATTTTTCATTATATATGCTCTTGATGTTGACCATGGCCTGGCTGCAAGAATCTGGTGGCGTGCAGTTAACGAGATAATAAGCCTATCTATTACTCTTCGAGGATCGGAGGACAGAAAGGACTAAGGATGCCTATGGATGGGCTCTCCAGCAAGCTTTGTTGTAATGTCTAGCTACATCACAATGTCTTTTTCATTGATTTAGTCTAAGTGGACTTTTAACTCAAAGTTTGTATCACAACATCACAAGTCTATCGCGAAGATAGAGTCCAAAATATATCAGGAAACAACTTTAAACATAGAAAATGAAATCCATTTTGGACTTGACCTGAGCTGCACACACTGGACAGTCCGGTGATGATATGATGCATGTATTCGACGCAGGCTCAATTTTAACTGCGAACTTATTATATAATCACTTCAACTCATAGTTGAGAGGAACTAGTAGAAAAGCCGTCTCCCTCCCTCTTATGTGCGCGTTCCAATGGAGCTACTACCACCAGTGGTCTCCTTCATCGCCGTCGTGCTCGCCACTGCACTCTTTCTCACAACCATTCTCCTCGGCCGCTGGAATCCCAAGCGCAAGCTCAATCTCCCACCAGGCCCTCGGCCATGGCCGGTGATTGGCAACCTCAACCTGATCGGCGCGCTCCCGCACCGCTCTGTCCATGAGCTCTCCAAGCGGTACGGCCCACTCATGTCTCTCCGGTTCGGCTCCTTCCCCGTCGTCGTTGGCTCCTCCGTCGACGCCGCAAGGTCCATCCTCAAGACCCACGACCTGGCGTTCATCGACCGTCCGAGGATGGCGTCGGGCAGGTACACCGGCTACAACTACTCCGACGTGCTCTGGGCACCCTACGGCGCGTACTGGCGCCAAGCGCGCAGGCTGTGGAAGACGGAGATCTTCAGCGCTAGGAGGCTCAGGTCGCAAGAGCACGTTCGCGACGAGGAGCTGCAAGCCATGCTGCACGATCTCTATGTCCACGGGACATCGGCAGCGGGGGCGGGGCGCGTGGTGGTGCTGCTGGACCATCTCCTCATGGTGAACCTCAACGCGATCTCACGCATGGTGCTGGGCAAGAAGTATGTCGTCAACGAGACAGGGTCGGCGACGACGCCTGAAGAGTTCAAGCGGATGGTCGACGAGTTCTTCTTCCTCAGTGGAGCGCTCAACATCGGGGACATGATCCCATGGCTCAGCTGGCTGGACCCGCAGATCAGGAGGATTAAGCGGCTGGGCAAGATGTTTGATTGGTTCCTGGAGCATGTGGTGATCGAGCACATCGATCAGCGGCGGCGGCGGCGAGAAGGTGAGGAGTTTGCTGCCATGGACATGCTGGACTTGCTGCTGGAGCTCGCTGACAACCCCGACCTCGAGGTCCCAATCCAGCGGGATGGCGTCAAGGGATTTACGCTGGTAAGCACACGGGAGACTGATCACTAATTTGCTCCGTTATTACTTTATAGTCCGTTTCAGTTGAGCTCTTTTCGTCATATGTAAAAAGATTGGTTATTACACGTCACAAGGTTTCTAAAACTGGATCCTTTGCCACAGCCAGGGTTTTTAATTTCGGTATTAAAATTATTTCGGTCTGCCTTTATGATTAGTGAAATTCGGTTAAAATTTTAATAATTACTTTCTAGAGGCTTAAACATGCTAATATGATATTTTTAGATCCAAATAAAATATGATATTAGCATGATTTTTTAAGCATTTATTAAGTAGAAAAATATATACATAAATAATAGAAAATATGTGGCTAAAGTTATATTTTGAGCCCTGCCCACCGTCGCTTATGCCATCACCGTCATGGATGACATATGTTGCTTGTTTGATTCCCCTTCGGAGGGTGACTGGTGCTGCATGTGCTTGTGTATCTTGAACAATGTTTAGGTTCGCTATGTGCATGTGCATGTGTATCTCGTGGCCTGTGGCCATTGTTTGGAAGCTATACACGCGGAGGGTGCATTTAAAATTATTTTCGAGTAGCAGGAATCTTGGGAATTCAAAATTATAACCTCAAGTCTCACGTAACATGAGCCATCCTTATCATAGTACTACTACCGATAGTGCTCCGCTGCGGGCTTCCGTATCGCATCTAAACGTCGGACGCTATGTGGCCTCATGATGTCCACATATTTTACCCACCGTATAAATATCCTTTCCGGTTTCATCTCGTCTCTCTCTCCTCCGTCTCTCCATTCAAAGCAATAGGGAGAGGAAGGATGTCCAGGACAGAACATGCCTGACGCATGGCTACCATGCTCCATTCGTATCCCCACTCGCCGCCTCGGGTTCACGCAACTGTGGAGACCAAGCCAACGCCTTCTCTCCCTCTCCCATTTGCTCACCCTCGCTCCTCTCCCTCTCGCTCTGCTTGAGAGTGCAGGCACCGAGCGCCATGGTCGCCCACCCAGCTTCCACGGTCGATGCTAGCTCCCGTGCCTCCGAGCGCCCTCCTCCGTGCAACCGCCGTCCAAACTGACCACCCCATCGGCTTCCACACCCCCCCGCCGCAGCTCGCCTGCCTCAACCGCCCTGCTGAGCTCCACGCACACTGCCGCTGAGCTCCGTGCTGCCGACATCTACGTGTTGTCGTTGGGCTCTACACACGTGTTGCTGACCAGCTCTGCGCCGCCGATGAGCTCCACACTGGCGACCTCCGTGGCATCGAGCTTCGTGCCAGCGTCGAGCTCCGCATTGACAAGCCTCGATTCGCCCAAGCAGCAAGAAGATGTTGCGCTAAAAAGCGAATGTTGCAAGCGTATGCGTCAAGTGTTTCATATGCATGTTGCAAGTTTTTATGTGGATGTTGTAAAAGTTGATCGGGATGTTGCAAGCGCTTGTTCCAAACATTTCAGCTGTTTCAAACGTATGTTGCATGTGTTTTATATGAGTGTTACATATGTTTCACACTTTATGTTGCAAGTGTTTCGTCCGGATGTTGCATATATTTCACACATATGTTGCAAGTGTTTTGTCTAGATGCTGCATATATTTTGCAATGGCTACACACATGTTTTTCTCGTGTTTCAGACGTATGTTGCAAGTGTTTCAACTTTTTTAACGTATGTTGCAAATGTTTCCTCTAGTTATTGCAAAAGTAGATCTAGTGTTACACATGTTGTAGTGGGACCCATCTGCATGCCTGTGGGTGTGGAGGGGGCGCGGATGGTAGGTGCGGGAAGTGGGCCTGTTCGCTTGAACTTATCAGCCAGCTTATCAGCTAAAATCTACAGTATTTTTCTCTTACAATAAATCAGCTTCAGCCGACTTATCAGCCGGCTTTAATACCAGTCGAACAGGCCCCGTGTGGGCAAAGATCAAGAGGGAGCGGCACGGGACACGGAGCGGCGCGGAACACGGTGCAGGTGTAGGACACGGAGCGACGCGGGCCCCACGTGAAGCAGGCGTGCGGACGAGCGCAACAGCATGCCTATGTGAAGTAGGCACGGGCATTTGGATGCTAGCCCTGCCTAGACGTCTGGGCACTGGCCTGTCTGTACTGCTACACAATCACCCGGGATCAGGTACCGATGGCTATTTTTAGATTACTATTTTATTGGATATTGAAGACCTAAATGGTCTTAAGTTTTCAAAATTTTAACAATATAGTTTTTGAACTCATCAAAAACTACAATTTTGAATGAAGCATGTCTCAATCCAAGTTGTTTGAAAATTCAAGAAAAATAATTTAAAACATTGAGAACTTAAATGTATATTTAGACCCCTAAATAATCTCAAATAAAAAATTATAAGCTACAAAGATTATTTTTTGAAAGAAATCAGCTACGAAGTTTATATCCCATCTTGCTCTACAACTCTAAAATAAGGTTTGTCTCCATCTGCCTTCTTCATTCATCATTTAGAAATGTTATGAAGTTATTTGTGCAACAAATATCTCTAGTGACGGGCCATCTTACCAACTGCATCTGAAAATCAATATTCTGGGGGTCATTGGTAACACTGGCATAATGGATCACCCCTGAAAAACAAACAAGATGCTTCTAAATTTCGCTTTTGTTAGTGTAACTAATGAAATGATGCATACACATTTCAGATTTTCATAAGATTTTTAGGATTTATCTTTTTTCCTAATACATTGTGCAAGGATTAATGTGGAGGTGCCAAAAGAGACTATTTTAATGACAAATTTATTACTACAGACATTATAGAAAAAGTATCAGTGGTTTAGTCATCCCTCTATTTTTCTCTTTTGGTACTGAAGAATATGTCTAGTGAGTTATTACATGCTCTGCACATCAATATAGTTGAAACTATAATAGTTACTCATGAGTACATACCCGCGGGTATCCTAATCGGCATCCTACATCCCTTACTTAAGACCATACCTGGCCACCGACCGGAAAATTCTGAGCCACCCGGTCTAGAATCCCATGTAATCGACAGAAAAATGTAAATAAACCATTAGACATATATGTTTTCTAAAGTAATATCTGTTATATGCAAGTTCTTATATATGTGATTTGTTATATGCAAGTTCTCCAACCTTCGAGGAATACATATTTCCTATGATGATAGCCAAGGAAACAACCAATTTCCTTGGCAGTTCCATTTCAGCCCTCAAGAAAATTCTTGCCCATCAAGGTAATTCAGGATTATGGTAGTGTCATGAAGTTGGGCAACGCAAATTAATCTGCATGATCTTATGTAATCTAGCAATAGATGGAACGATTGCTTTTGTTGCTCTTATCATTTGCAATATGTTTTACTTTTACCCACATCAAGCACTCCTAGGATCATATGAGTCGTAGCTAGAGAGCTAGAAATATGTAATCATTAATTGTACTTCCTGACCTGCATTATCGAATAACTAAAGGAGTAGAGTTGTTTTAGAAAAGAATTTTCTGACACGCTCTTGCAGGATCTCATCGTTGGCGGCACGGACACCTCATCGGTGACCATCGAATGGGCCATGTCCGAGCTCCTGAGGAAACCCGATGTGCTCACCAAGGCCACCGAGGAGCTGGACCGTGTCATCGGCCGCGAACGCCTTGTCACGGAGGGGGACATCACGAAGCTCCCGTACATGCAGGCCATCGTCAAGGAGACCATGCGCCTGCACCCGGTGACGCCGTTGCTGGCGCCGCGGCTGTCCCGGGAGGACGCGTCCGTGGACGGCTACGACATCCCGACGGGCACGCTCGTGTTCGTCAACGTCTGGGCCATCGGCCGTGACCCGGCCGTGTGGGGGGATGCTCCCGACGAGTTCCGACCAGAGAGGTTCGCCGGGAGCAGCGTGGACGTGAAGGGGCAGGACTTTGAGCTGCTGCCGTTCGGGTCTGGCCGTCGGATGTGCCCCGGCATCGGGCTTGGGCTAAAGATGGTGCAGGTGATTCTAGCGAACCTGGTCCACGGGTTTGCGTGGAGGCTCCCCGACGGCATGGCGAAGGAGGAGTTGAGCATGGAAGAGAAGTTCGGGCTGTCCATGCCGCGCTTGATCCCACTCCAAGCCGTCGCCGAGCCTAGGCTTCCGGCTCACCTATACGCCAGGCCGCCTCCATGATGCACGCATACATACTTGTGCGTGTGCGTTGCCTGCATCTGTCTCTGCGTGTACGTGGAACACAAGCATGATGCATTTGCTTCGAGCCTTCGACAGGAAATAAACGTGTGTATCCACGTATATCAGCGCTGTGTCAATTCTTATCCACGTGGCATCATGGCCATGTTTAATGACGATTTCAATCACTTTTCTCTTTTTCATAATAAGTATGTAATGGAACTCCATTCTCACAAGCGGATCCCATATACCAAGGAGGTAAAGGGGAGTATATATATGCATGTTTTAATGTGCTAGAGCAACCATCTCCTACGATCATAATTATGGTCATGCTTGGAACCTTTGCTGATCTTGTCTCACCTAGCCAGCCTCACCTAGCAAAGTAGAGACAACAACCTTTACTCATGCAGGCAAGCTGATTTGGCTCTCCTGAACGGGCAAGGAAATCCTTGCTGAGGAGAGCTAGGTTGTCGGGCAAAGTAAGAGTTTGTGATTACAGCCTTAGATCTTTAGGAGTTGTTAGTGTTATGAACGACGTATAGGAATATGAAGTAAAGAATCAAGCCACAGAGGAGACACACGATTTAACGTGGAAAACCCCTCCGATGTGAAGGGGAAAAACCACGGGCACCAGCCAGCAACAATCTCACTATCTCAAGAGTTTTGGGTTACACGCCTATGACGGCTTACAAGAGAATCAAGTCTCCACGAAACCCTAGCAAGGGTGTATATACCGTACCGTACCGTACCCTACGCTCCGGCCCAAGCCTCCGGCGACGGGCCTTCGCTCCGCTCCGTCAGAAGCCCGGCCTATATCTTGGAGTGAATTTGGAACAACTCCAACAGTTAGTAGCCCATCATCACAGCCTGGGTCACCTCCAGCAAGGCTACGCATTTACCTCCAAAAACGGGCACATTCCAATCAAATTGAAACAAAGGGAGCAAAAGATATGACATGCCTGTGCTGCAAGGCATCACGAACAAAACACGAACCGGGCATCACAACCAAATTTATCATGAATGAAACCTAGATCCGGGCCGAATGGATGCCCTCCTTGCTGGATCCAGGACGGATCCACGCGTGCCTTTGCCTCCACATCAACTTGAGAGGAGTGTTGTGATTTGGTTTGCTTTGTGCTGACTGCAATATAATAATGAGCGGGATTAATTATTTTTAGACGCAGGTCTCTAAAAATGTATTTACGGTTGTGGTGTTTATTGGACTGTCTTCGTAAATAAGTTGATCGCCTCTGAAATTCACTAGATATTTTTGGAGATACTGATGTGTCGGATACCAGAAAATAGGGTACCCCAAGCAAAGATCGAAAAACTGCTCAGACCCTAAGAACAGAACCAACGGAATAAACAAACGAGGTCTCGGCCGAAATCTCCGATTCGCCCGAAACCCTGTCGCCGAGCCCCGGCGGAAGCGAACGATTCTCCGACTCGCCCGAGACCGCCTCGCCGAGGCCCCCTCGCCCGGGGCCTCGGAAGAAGTGCCGATTCTCCGATTCGCGCGAGGCTGGCTCGGCACCAGCCCCGTGACCGCCTCTTCGACCAAACTCCTCTGACCGAACGTCGCATCCAAGCGCCCAACCACTCCGACAGACGCACGATGGCACAGTACAGCGAAGTGACCGACTACACGCCAGTCGCGTCAACCTCCTGCCATCTGCGACGGCACAGAGCAGGGCTTACCGACCACTGTGCTGCCTAACTCCTGCACCAAGGACATCACAACGTGGGGAGTCAGAACAGGTTCCTGTAGCCTCGGAATCAGCGGACCGACCGCTTCGGCTCGCCCGAGCCCCCTCGACAGGGCCTCGGATTCACTGATCTTACTACGCCTCGCCCGTCCGCCTCGCCCGAGACCCCCTCAAAAGGGCCTCGGACGAATTGGCCGCGCTCCGCCTCGCCCGAGGCCGGGCTCGTCCCACAACCTTGTCGCCTCCGCCTCAAAAGTCTCTCTGGCAGGCTGTCACGTCCGATTAATGCGCTCAGCCGCACCCGCTACGTAAGCCACGATCGGCAGTGCGCTGCAACAGGAGCGACGGGACAACAGTCAGATCACCTTTTTTACCATCCCTTACTGACAATACAGGTACCGTATCCTGTAGGCGCACGTCTTGCACTATTCCGCCTGACGGCCGCTGAGACCCGCATCTGCACCTGGGTCACTTCTCAGGCCTCGGCACGGCAGGCCTCGGCACGACCGGCTACGATGGCCGCCGAGCCTCTGCGATCCACCAAGTCAACAAATGCACAACATGTTACTTGCAGTTGAGACTATACCGATTAGACATCTACGGGAGCTCCCACGATAACGCCATGCTGCTCCAGGAGTAAATACGTCATCAAATAGTCCGCTCCACGTGTAGCTCTCTTATGTACTCCTGGTTTCCTCCCTACGGCTATAAAAGGAGGCGGTCAGGACCGTTTTTTGGGGACGGCGGATAGAGTCATGAACACTCGCACGAACAACACGCCATATTCTGTAATTCATATCACATCCCCTCACAGAGACTTGGGACGAACTCCCTCTCTCGCCTAGCTTGTAACCCCCTACTACGAGCACCTCGGTGCAAGGAATACAAGAACATCTTCTCAGACTGGACATAGGGCATCCATTGCTCGAACCAAAATAAACCTTGTGTCTCTTTGCATCACCATCCGGAATTGGGAGCACGCAGCACAAATTCACTAGTCGGTCAAGGACTCCCGGTTCCGAAACACCGACAGTTGGCGCGCCAGGTAGGGAATTCTGCGTGTCAGCTTAGTCATCCCACCAGATTCCAGATGGCAGATCCCGTGCGATCGTTGCGTCTCAGGACGATCGTCTGGTTCGGGAGCCTCCTACGCCACCGCCCTCGTCTCCATTCATCAACGCCACGCCCGTAACCCCATAGTCACAACTCCAATCCACCCCTACTCTAACTCCTCGGAGGAGGACGAGGCGTGGGTTGGAGCAGACTTCTCCGGGAGTCACGACCCTGAGGCGATGCGCCGCTTCATGATCGCGAGCGACTACTACTTCGGCTACTCCGATTCCGACGGCGAGGACGCTTGCGGCCCGACTCGTGAGTGTTTCCACATCGCTGCGGCGGCGATACTAGTCCGAGCGATGCCCGAGCCCTCTACCACGTAGGGGCGACGGGTCCACGGTGAACTCCGAGGCCTTCTCGAGACTGCCGCGGTGCAGCAGGCCGAAAGCTCCACGTCTCGACGACGCGGGGACGCCTCGAAACAGCCCTCGGTGCACGACCGCCTCAGGGCCCCCTCGGTGCACGACCGCCTCGACGACCAACGCGAGGCGCAAAACGGCCACCACATGGGCAGCAGACGACGGCACCACGACCACGATGGGGCCGCCCGGGGCTACCAATTGCACCGAGGCGGTCGCTATGACAGTGGGGAGGACCGCAGTCCTTCTCCCGGGCCGCCTGGCCCTAGAGTTTTCAGTAAGGCCGTCCGCAGCGCCCGCTTCCTGGCCCGGTTTCGTCAGCCAACGAATCTCTCAAAGTACAGTGGCAAGACCAACCCCGAGCTATGGTTGGCCGATTACCGTCTGGCTTGTCAGCTAGGCGGTGCGGACGATGACCTGCTCATCATCCGCAACCTCCCCTATTCCCGCGGACTTCGGCCATGAGCCCGCTCGAACACCTTCCCCTATGCAAATCCACGATCAGCGCGACTTGGTAAAGGTCTTCGTCCGAAATTTCTGGCACCTACGCTGCGCCCCGGGAACTCCTGGGACCTCAAGAGTTGTCGCCAGGGGCCGGACGAGTCTCTCCGAGACTTCATCCGACGTTTCTCCAAGCAATGCACCGAGTTGCCCAGCGTCGGTGACTCAGAAATCGTCTAGGCATTCCTCTTCGGCACCACCTATCGAGACCTGGTGTGAGAGTTAGGCCGGAGCGTACCAACCACGGCATCCACACTCCTCGACATCGCCACCAGCTTCGCCTCTGGCGAAGAGGCCATCGGGGCCATCTTCCCCAACAACGACTCTAAGGGGAAGAGGCGGGATGAGACCCCCGGGGCCTCGACGTCTCGCCCCCCCAGAAAAAGAAGAAGGGACGCCAGGGGAAACAGGAGGTTCTCGAGGCCGAACTCGTCGTGGCCGCGGACCGCAAGAATCCCCGAGGCCCAGGGCTCTTCGACAACATGCTTAAAAGACCCTGCCCATACCATCAGGGCCCGGTAAAGCACACCCTCGAGGAGTGCACCATGCTCCGGCGATACTACGCCAAGCTCGGGCTCCCCAACGACGATGCCAAGAAGAGGGGCCAGGACGACGGAGACAACGACAAGGACGACGGGTTCCCCGAGGTACACAATGCCTTCATGATCTTCGGTGGGCCCTCGACGTGCCTCACGACGCGACAGCAAAAAAGGGAACGCCGAGAGGTCTTCTCGGTTAAGGTGGCCACTCCCCAGTACCTCGACTGGTCTCGGGAGGCGATCACCTTCGATCGGGATGACCACCCCGATCATGTCCCAAACCCCGGCCAGTACCCGCTCGTCGTTGACCCGATCATCGGGAACACCCGACTCACCAAGGTGTTGATGGACGGAGGCAGCGGCCTCAACATCCTGTGCGCCGTCTGTTGGGGCTCCTAGGGCTCGACCGATCACAACTCCGAGGCGACGCCGCGCCTTCCATGGCATCATGCCGGGGATGCTGCCTTGCGACCCTCGGGCGCATAGACTTACCCGTCGCTTCCTGCACCCCCTCCAACTACGCAAGGAGACCCTCACCTTCGAGGTGGTGGGGTTCAAGGGACTTATCACGCCATCCTAGGGGCGGCCGTGCTACGCCAAGTTCATGGCGGTCCCGAACTACACCTACCTCAAGCTCAAGATGTCGGGCCCCAACGGTGTCATCACTATTTACTCCACGTCTGAGCATGCATACGATCGCGACGTCGAGTGCATCGAAATACGCCGAGGCTATAGTGGAGTCCGAGGCCCTCATCGCCAACCCTCGACCAGCTCGACAAATG